TAACATGCTTCCAAGGGTTCCCTTAAGGTTGCCACTCCAAGATAAAAGAGGCACTTCAACAAAAGCACTTTTTAAGACTTCCGCTCACTTTCTCAAACACATTCAAAAAGTTATTGTCTAAAATACATCACAATGGTGAGGCCTGTAACCTAAACTAAAACTAAATGTGTAAACTAAATTACACAAGCATGAATAAATCTTTCAGGATCTTTTCAAGATCATAGGATGCATTGTCCAAATGCATGTGGCAAACAGACATGGGCCCCAGAAGTCTCAATGATTGGCCAAAATTTCAATCTGCTCTACAGCAGCCTACTGTGGCAATTCTTTTAAAAATGTGCTTGGTCTAAAGGGAATTTACATAAAGCTCACCACACCCAAAGGGTTTGTTCAGAAATGTATTTGGTATACGTTTGTTCGCCTGGACAAGACCTATTGCTCTGAGCCATCTACAGCTTTGGAACTACCTCACATTCCTGTCCTAAAGACCTGGTTCTTGTCTGTTCGTATTTTGCGCTTCCAGACAGCAAGTCCCCTGCCCACCATGAATAGGATTCTGACAGGATATATGTCAAGGGGTCACAGTCCTGTGTAATACTACCTAAACACAATAACCCAGTGTTCTACCTGAACAAATAGCAAAGGCACAGACCCCCTTTTGCAGAGGCTGTAATGTTCATTAATAGTGAATAATGTAAACAGGTTGTCGTTAAAAACATTTGAGTAGAACTATATCTTATGCAATCACATAAACCAACACCACAGCACAACTTTAGTCATAAACTGCTTGTACTTGCATTCTATCCCACTAACTCAAGCATGACGTCATACGTAACCATTCGAACCATTGTTCTCTCTCTCTCTCTCTCTCTCTCTCTCTCTCTCTCTTCTATATTACAAATTAACGTGCTGTATTGTAAAACCAGAATGTCAGGTAACAGATTTTAAAACTAAATATTCAGTACAACTCTGATTATTTTCTTTGCAAGAAGCAAAAAAATGCGATTATACAATAGCTTAATAAAGCAAAGCAGATGCAGTTGTCAGCTTACTTTGGCTGCGAGTGCAACTTTCACAGTAGAATACTCCTCCGATTGTGAATCTCTGCTTCTCTCAGCTGTTGCACATCCCCTAAACTTTCACTGGTTGATCTCCTACAATTTCAGGAAAGTCGAAACAAAGTTACTCCTTGTAGAACTGCCCCCTCACGCCCACCACTGTGGGCTGGTGACCTCATGGACCTTCAGTCGCACGGGCACATAACTGGAATTTTTGAGGAAACAGACATGATGTACGTGCCTAAAAAGTCGGTTGTTTTAAACCAAAAATAATAAATGTGATGGATTAAATAATATCCTAGCCTGACGAGCACTTTAGGTGACTGGTGGAGTTTTCTGGAGGAGGGGAAGCAAACAAATTTCACTAATAGTAGGCTACTTGTGTACGTTGGTGTTGTCGCTTTGGTTTGGGACGAATGTATTCCAGTAAAACAAATATCATTAGTTAACCTCATAGTTATTTTCAATTCTTGAACGAATCCTTTTTAATGCGATCTTGTCAAAGAATCCGTTGAACCGCTTCACAAAACCGGACTGAATGACTCTTTCTGATTCGTGGCTGAATTCGGCAAAGCATACTAGCATACATACTATCCATCCATTCATTTGTTTGTCCTAGCAAACATACTAGTCTTAATATTTCTGCCATATAAAAATAATGCAGTAGAAATAGAAACAGTAGTAGCCTATGGTAGCTCACATTTAGCTCAAACATTGGTTTTAATAAATACCTTTTTCAGCAAATAAATTTCTGCTACATTTGTGTACCATTGTTTATTGCCAATGCAATTTATTTTAGGTTCTAAATATATTTTATGGACGTAATCATGGCTGTAAACTGATATGAATAAATAAAAGTTGATCGGGGACCAATTACGCAATGACGTAGAACAACAGCTGAACATAACAGCTTTTTTGAACTGGTTCTTTAAAACGAACAGTTCGAAAGATTCGTTTCGCCGAAATGAGTCGGACATCTCATCACTGGAACCGCTGTTTGTTCTCTTGTGGGATATTAATGTATAGTGCCATCTTGTGGATAACGGTGAATTTAGGAGAACAGAACCGTAAATGAATGCATAAATGCTAATTCGACTTCACTAGTCAGATTACAGATGTGTCCTGAGAAAGATTTTCCACTTGCTTTAATTCTTTAATAAGTATTAGAATTACTTTGAAAAAGCCTGATTACTGAAAACATAAAATATATAAAAAATGTATGAATAATATATAGCTACCATAATATACATGACAGCAGTCACAGTCTCCCTCTCTACTGTATTTTCTTAGGCTCCTCCCCCTAGTCCTACTTCCAAGATCATTAGTCTCACTCTCTGCACTGTATTCTCACACACTTCTCTGGTTGAAGGAAGGAGGGAAGGTTATTTCAGAAATGTTCAAATTACAGGCAACTCTTTCAATAATGGATGAATTCCTGAAGTCTTTGGATATTAAACTATCTGCAAATATACCCCGAAGAACGGATGCTTGATCAAAGGACTTCATTTTTCAGGTTGCAGCCAGGGTAATAGGGACATCCCAGAAGATGGTAAACCAGACTGAAGGTTATGTCTCAGAGCTAATAACTCGCTCCACGACTGCTTGTCTGCTTTTCATTTTTGTGCTCTCCACCTTTCTAGGGAATGCTCTGGTGTGCACCGCAGTGGTACGGTTCCGTCATCTGCGCTCCAAAGTGGCGTATGTGTTTGTAGTGTCTTTGGCTCTCTCAGATCTCTTAGTTGCCTCTCTTGTAATGCCATGGAAGGCAGCCGCTGAGATTGTGGGTTTCTGGCCGTTCGGCAGTTTCTGTGAAGTATGGATAGCCTTTGACATCATGTGCTCCACTGCCTCCATTCTTAACCTGTGCATCATAAGTGTGGATCGTTACTGGGCTATTGCTATCCCTTTGAGCTACGAGCAGAAAATGACAAGAAGAGTGGCATTTGTCATGATTGGAGTGGCATGGATGCTCTCTGTTCTGATCTCATTCATTCCTGTGCAGCTAAGTTGGCATAAGAGTCTCCGCCATAAAGAAGACCTGGGAGAAATGGCTGAAAAGTGCGATGCCAGTTTAAACCGCACTTACGCCATCACTTCATCTGTAATCAGCTTCTATATCCCTGTCTCCATAATGATTGTCACTTACACTCGCATCTTCCTCATAGCGCAAAGGCAGATCCGAAGGATATCAATGCAAGAGTGCACCATTAAGCATGTTCAGTCCTGCCAGAGCTGCAATAAAGCACCTGAAGAGAAGTTAAAAAGTGCATTTAAGAGGGAAACCAAAGTCCTGAAAACCCTGTCGATGATCATGGGTGTGTTTGCCTGCTGTTGGCTCCCTTTCTTCATTCTCAACTGCATGGTGCCATTTTGTGACCCTGGCCTCCACAACACCAGACAGATCCCATGTGTCAATAAGACGACTTTTGATGTGTTTGTGTGGTGTGGGTGGGCGAACTCTACCTTGAATCCTGTAGTTTATGCATTTAATGCAGAATTCCGCAAAGCTTTCTCCAGTCTCTTGGGATGTGGGAAGTTGTGCTCTCGGAATACTGTGCAAACGGTTGACTTCAGCAATGAGCTGGTGTCATACCATCGCGACTCCACAAACCTTCAAGACATTCACCTCTTCGGTCACCCCTGTCTGCATCCGCATGCTGTCAGGGAGAAAAGTGATAAAGATATGTGCTTTGACACAGTGTCAAAGATGGCTGAAGTCCCTTATGAGACTGAATGTAACTTTGTATATGGGGAAAGGCCTCCTATGCTAAGTCATGGAGAAACAGAACTATCATTGGATAAAATCATACCATTTACAAAAGAAGATGAGTTAGCGTCTCTTGAACATGTGGCTCATAATGAAAGTGAATCTCCTAGTATCTCTGGAATATTGTGATCTTTAAATATGTTTTGGTGGTGTGTTTTGAAAATAATTAGTAAGACCATGAGTAATTGAACTGGCTTAGAGACCTGTTTTTGAGTGCTGTTTCGACATTACTCTGCTCATGAATCATTCAAAAGGTCACTCATTGTGAGATATATATAGATTCCATACAGAGCTTTAAAATTACTATTAATTTTGAAACGACTCCTGTATTCACTCATAAAGGGAAAAGGCACTGACAGGTTGTTGTTTTTCTCTTCTTTTACCTGCTGCTTTTTTTTTTTTTTACCTCATATTGTTTGATGAACTACTTTGAATATTTACATTTGCCAATCCACAGGCAAAAACAATCAAAATTGTGAAAAACTTAAATCAAAATGGTGAAATCATGTCCAGTGACATTTACATTCCCATATACACTCATATCAGTTTTAAGCTAAAATCTTTACATTGATTTCTTTATACAAAAAAGAGGTCTGCCCAAAGTATTCAATGGCTTTTAATAAGAAAAAATGTGCCCTTAATTTAAAAACATTAAATTTAACATGAATGTACATTCTCTTAAGCAGATAAAGAAAACAAATGAGCACTCATCTTCTTAAACTCATATTTGTTTTTATTGGGAGTTTTGTACTAAAACAGGTTTCGGACAAAATATAGGTTTATGAGTAAATGTTAAGAACAATAGTATACAAAAAAATGTAAAATAAACAACAACTGATGGAATCTTGCCTTTTGTAGTAACATTCAACAAACCATTAACAATGAATAAATTAAATGTGTGTTCTGTATTGCTATATTTACAGGAAAGTCTAGTATAATCCTATACAAAATATAAATATTACACGAATTGGTGACAGTGATAAAACACTCATCCTGTTTAGTCACATAAGCTCTCACGTACGTGCACACGATGAACTAACTATGAATGACATTTCGGACACTTTCCAACCAGCGGACTCTTCTGTCTAATCTGTGAAGGATTGAAAAGCTACAGCAAATAATCGGCTTTGTGCATCAGGTACAGAGGTAGACTGTCATGTGTTTATACAAACCGATCTTTTACAGAAGTATATCTGTGCTGCTCGTTCGCGCTGGTGATATTTATAAGCAATAAGACCCTATCCAACAAGAAAAACACAGAAAGTGTCACACATCCCACTCAAAAAACATTTTCTCAGTCTATTAAAAAGGCATTAACCTTCTTACATGCGTTAGGAACATTTGCACTTTTGTGAAGATGGGGTGGCTCTTACAAGAGCCTTTGGTTTATGGAGTGAAGTCTGGCAGTCTACTTCTTCTTAGCGGCCGTCTTCTTCGCCTTGGGCTTTGCGGCTTCACTGCTTTGACCTTCTTAGGACTCTTTGCAACTTTCCTCACAGCCGGTTTCTTCACTTTCTTCGGGCTTTTGGCGGCTTTCTTGGGCGCAGCCGGTTTCTTCACTTTCTTGGGAGACTTCTTCGGGGCAGGTTTCTTTACTGGTGCCTTCTTGGGCTTCGCCGCCTTGGCCGCCGCCTTCTTCTTCTTCACGGCTGGTTTCTTCGGTTTCGCCACAACTTTCTTAACGGGCTTCTTGGCGGCTGGTTTCTTGCTCACCTTGAAAGATCCGGATGCCCCGGTGCCTTTAGTTTGAACAAGCGCCCCCTTTTTCACCAGCGATTTCAAAGCAATCTTGACGCGAGAGTTGTTTTTCTCAACGTCATATCCACCACCTGCCAAAGCCTTCTTCAGAGCCGCCAGAGAAACTCCTCTGCGCTCGTTGGAAGCGCCAACCGCCTTCACGATAAGGTCTGACACGCTTGGTCCAGGCTTTTTCGCCTTTGCCGCCTTCTTCTTTTGGGCTTTGGCTGGAGCAGCCGCGGGAGCAGGAGCAGTTTCTGCCATAGTTTCAGTAAACTTGTCACGTAGTACAGAGCTGTCAAACAAACAATGTTTACATCCAACAGCTGAGGGCGGGAGTTAAAAGGGAGATGAGAACCATATAGACTCAACTGCCTCACCCGACGCTCTCAACAGGACAGAGTCGTTCGTAGATGTGTTTTCTGATCTTGAAAAACACAAGGTTTTCCGCGATAAAGATCGATGGATTGTAGACTTTAAACCACGTCCCGATAGCTGAGTATTTCCTCTTTAAGGGCAGCTCATGTTTCGTGTAAAACATCGCTCGGTTTATTGTAGAGTAATAAAAACGCGTCCAAATGTAGTGCGAGTCGCAGCGGGAAATATCGCACTTCCTCTGTTCTTTTGTAGATTATATATTAAAATTCGAAAATCACATCTAAAATGATGGACACTTTGCACAGAAAAGACCCTAATCTACACATTTGTGGTGGTTTTAGACTAAGACAGCTCAAGGAATAAAAAATTGAAGCGTTTATCCTTAGTGAAGGTAACACGGTTCGGCGCTGTCGCCATTTCAACCTCCCCTAATCTCAACGGAGATTCTTTCTACAATGATCTATTAATGATCATATCTGTACATCCAGTACATGATTCGAATAACTTATATATAAGCAAGTTTACCAACATTACACATTTAAAGACGTTGCCTGTTAGTAATAAAACGGGAGTTTGTAGTATCTAAAGGGAAAGTGCTCTCAACAGTCGAGGAGTGCCATAACAGAGCGATCTCGGTGTATAATGTTGTTCTGATGAATTTATGGCACTTTTTTCAACGTTTTAATACTTACAAACACTTTACTATTCTTACAATTATATTTAGTAGTTGTAAAAAGGCCACTAAAAGTCACTTTTTATCCGAATAGGCTTAATAACGGCGAGGATTTTCACTATGTTCCTTCATTGTCCAGCGCGGAACTATTGCTTCACGTAGTTTCTATACTGTGATGTTGATCGACTTTAAACAATAAAACTATTATTTTTATCTGTCACACACATTTATGAAATATTTCATAAATGCGTGTGAAAGAATCTTCACTCTTTATTTTAAGCGAAATCTGAAGATTGCGTTTTGTACATTATTCATCATCTGATCACTAGCGTATGGACTCATGGCTGTTTATTAGTAAGAAATATTAAACATCGACCAGAGCACAAAAAGCTTATTTATGATAAATACGACTTTTATTAATAGTTAATTTGCAGTAAAAAAACACACACACACACACACACACATATATATATATATATATATATAATCGGGTCAGTCAGTCGTTTCAGATTACACCTACAACTTTTTTTTTTTTTTTGCTTTCTGTTATGTCTGCCTGTGAAAGAATGGCACTTTATGAGTTTGCTTAATACAATGATGTTTTAATGGAAAATTGTATTCCTAATGATTATGTTGGCCCTATGTGGTATCGTTTGTGTCACGTATCCGGTCCATGAACTTCCGTCTGCTAGCCATCAGAGGTCACCCTTTCCATTTCATTGACTCTCGCACTACACACTGTTGCATATCACCCCGGACTACATATCCCATCATCCACTGCACTGATGACACACAGTTGATTGCACACAGCACTGATTGCACACAGCTGTATCATATCACTCACTCACTATTTAACACTCAATCTCACTCCTTTCTAACTGCCGAGTATTGTATGCGCATATCGCTAGCTGTGATAGCTACGTTACGGAGCCTGCTTTAAGTTTCTTAGTCTAGTCTAGCCTAGTCTTGCCTTGTCCTCGTCTTCTGATCATTGCCTGTGTACTTTATACCTGTCTGCCATTATCTGACCTATGCCTGTTCTATGACCACGTCTCTGTCTTCTGCTAATAAATAGCTTGCACATGGATCCGCACGTCTCAAGTCTTGTCAGCCCCGTAACAGTTTGTGACAGTCAATCAGCTGTGTGTTGTGCCTATACAACACCCTTTAAGCCATGGCCATATGCACAATTTAGCAGGCTTCTTAGACCTATTAAAATGCACAAATTACAGGCCAGGACTTTTGATACTCCAAATCAAACGACTCTTGTTCTTAATCGAGTATGTTGGGAGTTAGCATTTTATTAAACTATTATTTTACTAAGCAAATTCATTAGGCGCAGTTCCTCTGCTTGAAGATAAAGTCCTGGACATGACATGACATGACATGACATATGGCCGTCATGTGACACACAGCAGCCACAATAGCACTCATGTTTTATTAATTTTTTCCCTTTTTATTCGAAACATTCCCAAACGCATTAACTGTATCATGAAACATCTCGATTCTCATCTTTTACATAGATAATGTTAGTTGATCTATGGGCAATGGTCAAAGTAGCTATTATGCTCTTTTACAAAGTCTTGATTTTGTTTTGGGGGTGTACTAGAACATGCTCTCATGCTTGGTGGTTCGAAAAACGCATTATGTTTCACATAATTTACATTATTAAAATACCTTTCTGCCCAGCCTGGCACAAACGGCTCGATTAGTTCCGGCTTTGATGAACTTCTTCATCGTCTCGTCTGATGCACTCAACCAAGCGTTCTAACCACAACCTCGCCCCT